AGAATTCGAAGCATCGGAGGGAGGGAGGAAGAAGGGGAGCGATGGAGAAGGAGGGAGAGAGAAGAAGGAAGAAGAGTCCGCTCAAGTCTCTCGAAGGCGGAGCCAGATATAACGAGCATGAAGGTGTCTCCTTGGAGCTGTGATGCAGGTGGAACACTCACGAAGACGAATAAGAGCTATGGCGCAAGGTAAGTCTGCACGTAAGTCTCTCTCATGTGGGCTCCGCTACTCTGCCTAACTCCTCTACCTGGAGTTTCGTTTCCCAGCATGTGTGTAGACCTCCACCTCCAAATGCTGCGTGCCTAGAATGAGGCTGGCCCAGCTATATATAACGCTGGGTCTACTGCTGCTGGGCCAAAGGAAAGAAAGCTGGCGCCCAGGACCTCACTGCAGGACAAATGACGTCCACCATAGCCAGGTAAGTACCCCTGGAGGCTGGCGCTCCCCTCTCCTAGTTCCTTCTTCCTCTTCCTGCCCGAGCTCCTCCACCATAAATTGAAGTGCCCAGCCCCAGGTAATTTAGAATTAACTTGTTCTATTCATCTAGGTCCACTGGGGTTCGAACTCAGGTCTGTACTTCAACAGTTCATGGGTGTATCACACTGAGCAAGGCCTGTCGGTGTGCGCACAACTTTTGGCTGAGGGGCACCTCAGAATTCCTAATTGAAACAAAGTTAATAAAAGAAAATAAAAATTCAAACTACAGCACCCCGTATAGAACCCCTTTAAGCCGCTTTAGACCACCTGTACACCCCAGCCTGCCGGTGCCACAGTGCGCCTTGGTTTGTCGAATCGCCAGCGGCACACGTTTTTTTTGTTTTTTGGCTGGTGCCGCCAGCCATTGTGGTCTGGTAGCGCTGAGCCTCCGATGTTTGAGGAGGCCAAGCTTTTCTGAACCACCACCAGCGGCCCACTGTTTTCCTTTTTTGTTTTGTTTTTTTGTGTCGCCAGCCATTCTGGTCTGGTAGGCCGAGCCTCAGAAACTTTTGTAGGCAGCGAGTTACTTTTTCAGCAAGGCTGGGGTCATTTTAAACCACAAGTGTACATCTGACCCTCTTTCGTTCGAACTAAAACGACTTACTCCTAAAAGTTAGGGACTCGCCCCAAGCCGGGCCTGGGGCCGGGCGGGAATTTTCCTTTTTGTCCCACGTGGCACCAGTGCCAACCCTGACCCGTGGGACACTGTTTCTTTCGCCCATCCCCAGGTCTGCTGTGGGGCAAGTCCCCTGACTTTTAGAAGTGAGTCATTTTGGACTCTGAAGTGAGAAAACTGCCAGGTTTTCCATTTTCCCGACTGTGGGCGAGATAGTAGTGCTTTAAGCCCCATCCATACCCCCCTTTCCCCCCACCAGTGGACAAGCTGGAAAAACAAAAAGAGCTCAGATTTGGGCTGATTTTGGACAAAAATAGCACAAACGAAAAGAAAAGAACAAAAGTTCCCGGAGTTTTCACATGCCGGGTACCCTGGGCAGACAGATGGCTGGGCGACTTCCACAGGTGCGCACCCCTGCAGCTTTGGTGTCAGAGGTTTCGGAATGCTTCAAAGGATATTTGCTGTGTTCTACTGTAGAAAGCAGTGCAGGAGTTCAGATTGTCTTTTTCTGTTTTTCTTCTTTTTGTGCGGTCATCGCCCGCACCGCCCGCACCACGGGCGCTAATCTAGTCTTACCATTAGAGGGGACACCTTTGGCCCTCATCTTACCATAAGAGGGGACACATTTGGCTGGGTTTTGTTAGAGCCCGGGTGGGATCTGTCTAATCCTTTTTGCTCCCCATACTTTTGCACCCCAGCGTCAGTTGAGACCCAGAAAGCTAAATAAAAAAAAAAAAAAAAAAAAGAGACCCAGAAAGCTGAAAGCTGCCTGCACTTTTGCTGTTCTTTCTAGGGTAGTTAGGTGGTCCTTTGAGAAACGGAGTTTTTGTGGACTTTTTGGGACTGTCTTTTTTGGGACTGTCTTTGTTATGTGGGAAGCTGTGGTCAGGGATCAGTTTGGCCAAGAGTGCCTTTCCCTGCTCCGTATGGCCGCGGCCAGCATGTAAGGGATGCCGGGCTCGTTTCCCGGCTTGTATCTGGATATGAAATAAGGATGGGTCTTTTCTATTAAAAATACAGTGTTGCATAGCTGCTGACCGCCGACCCCTACCGCCGATCGTATTGCAGCCGACCAGTAGGGCCGACCGGTCGGCGGTCTGCCGACCAGTCAGAAAACAGCCATCCACTGATTTCTTTTGAAATCTGAGTTGGGGGTTGTACTGCTTTTGCTGAGTACAGCCCA